TTCAAGTTCATTTTTGCCTTGGAAGAGAATGCAGATCTTGCCATGGAGTTAGACAGCATTTTAGCTGAGACCAAGGAAAAAGACAAACGGGTGGATAACCATCTCCAAGTAGCCTCCTACTGACTTAGTCGCCTTTTCCTCCAGCAGAAGAACTGCTTGCATTGCAGGAGGGCTGCAGACTTGAACCCAAAGGAAAGGTAGACTATAAATATTTTAATAAGTAGTTTGCTCAGTGGAGTGGTAGGGCTGGGGGTAGGATCCACCCTCAATGCCCGGAGCAGGGCTCCCCAAATCTCAGGTACAAGGTCACCAGGACACCTAGAGATTTCATTGTGGCACCTGGCATTTTCAGCCCATGACTTTATGTCTTCAGAAATCTCAGTGGAAGCACAAAGGTTGAATCTACCCAGATTTTCCACTGGTGAAAAAGAGAGAAAGGGCTCCCCGTTGGCCACTAAGAAGGCTAAGTAGCCCATGGACAACAGCCATTAATAAGGAGGGAGGCTGGCTGAGATTGAGCAAAATCAGGGGTCATTTCCCGCAGGAGCGCACAGGAGCGAAGCTCCGGCAGTGAAGAGCCCAGGGGGCGGGCACATACAACAAGCCCCACCCCCTGCTCACAGCAGCCCTCAGTCAGAGCAAGAAGCAGCCAGGTAAGTTGCAGAGCCCCCCCCCCAGTCCAAAACGGTCCAGTGGCACCTTTAAGACCAAGTTTTATTCAGGTACAAGCTCTCCCTCCTCTGCGAGGACAGATCTGAACGTGCCTTCCCCCCCCTCCAATAGCTAACAATCCAAAAGAGTCCAGTGGAGCCTGAGCGGTGGGTGTTGCCTTCTGAGACACTTCCGGTGATATCAGAGGGTGTGGCATATGCAAATAAGTTATGCTAATGAGTTATGCTAATGAGCTCCTGCACCTCTTTTTCTACGGAATGACCCCCTGAGCAAAATGATGGCTGGATCCAACCCAAAGCTTGTAGTTTTGCATTGGAACGCTTTCTTGTAAGAGATAAAAGTAAATGTCCATGAACTTCTTACCTTCGCTTCTGTGTAGATTTCACATGATTCACTGGTGGTGAATGGATTAATTTCTTCACCTGTCATTTCCTATACCTGATCCGATATTCAAACTGAGCTTTTAGTTCATATTGAGCAGATAGCTAAAGGGATGGTGACCCTTGTGAGGGCACAAAGGTGGGATATGCAGGCTGTAAAATAAACAAGTTGTGATTAGAGATTGTTGGGAGAATAAAACAGAGAAGGGGAGAACAATGTAAGGAGCTTTCGGTCCCCTTTGGGAAGAAAGATGGGGCATAAATGAAGGAAGTAAATAAAATAAATAAATACATCCCTCAGTTGTTATTTGCCATGATGGCTGCATGGAAGTTCCATGCTTGGGGGCTTTGTACCTCTCTGAGCATCAGTTTCTGACGGGTTTGGGCCTTCGTATCCCCGTTAATAAGCCTTCTTTGGGTGGCAGGTTGATATCCGGAGAAAAAGAATGCTACACTAAATGAACCTTTGGTCTAATCCAGTCGTGCCACCTAAGGTTTGTGTCGTTCAGCTGCCATATCCTCTTTTAACATTTCTGCCCATGGTGTTCAGTTGTCTGGTTCCATGCCTCTCCTCATTCTAAAGGTCTCCTGTTCTATAAAGGTCTCCAGTTTGGCGTAGTGGTTAAGTGCGTGGACTCTAATCTGGGAGAACCGGGTTTGATTCCCCACTCCTCCACTCGCAGCTGCTGGTGTGACCTTGGGCAAGCCATAGTTCTGGCAGGGCTGTTCTTGAAAAAGAGCACTTTCTGTCAGAGCTCTCTCAGCCCCACCTCCCTCACAGGGTGTCTGTTGAGGGGAGGGGAAGGGAAGGGAAAGGAAATTGTAAGCCGCTCTGAGACTCCTTTGGGTAGTGAAGGGCGGGGTATAAATCCAATTTTCTCCTCCTCTCCTCTATTCTCCCAAAGGCTTCAACCCTTATGCTTGGAACTGCTTCCCAGAAAGCAGTATGATTTTACCTTTTCTACTCCTTTCCTTTTTGAAGAACAACTTCCCCCATTAAGACTGAGGCGCAATCTCTTGGGTCCCCTCTCTCGCCAGAAAGTGGTCTCATGGGCCCCGCTTTTCTTTCCCAGTTTTTCCCTCCCTCCCTCATTATCCTTGCTTGTTGCTTCTCTGCTCTAAAATGTCATATGGGTAAGCTTTTCGGGCACTGACCTGTCCTTTAGTACTCTAACGCACCATACACCTTGATGGCACTATATTAATAATCACCCTAGCCACTATATCTTAAGTAAAAATACTGGTTTGAGCCTGGCCATGGTTTCTGTTGGTGGCAGATACTTCAGCCGGTGGAAAAGGAGAGGAGGTGTTTTCCCCCAGTTCCCCCCCCCCTCATTGCAGACCCCCATGCTCTTCGGTGGTTGGAGGTCATCTTACACCTGGGGGCACAGCAGGCTGTGACTGGGGTGGGGGAGCATGAAAATTTACTTCTCCTGAGTTGTCCCATTAGGTAGGATCCAACCAATGTTCCCTCTAAGCTGAGTTAGTGTGAGCTAGCTCACAGTTTTTTAGCCTCCAGCTCACACATTTTTGTCTCAGCTCAGGAAGGATGGCTCCAGAGCAAACTAATGTATACAATAGCCAAATCGCTCACTAACAAGTCCCCCCCCCCCGGTAGGGGATTTTTTAATTTGCATTTTCTAAAAACTACAACGAAAATAGGGAGGGGATCTACATCTATAGGAGAAAGGAAAGAAAGCCCACTAAAAACCCAGGAGTTGGAGGTCTTACACTGCTTATAAAAGTATTAGCTTAACAATATAAAAATTGCTTTTCTTAACATTGAGAGTGGTCAATCATCATCATTGATTATGTTAACAAACCATCAAATCTGACTATATAAAGAGCATTCCAGGAAAATCGCTAGTTAACTTAAACACAAATTTCAGAGAACAGTGGCATCTCATTTTACAATTGTTTTTCCCTCCTTCATTTAAAGCAAATTAATAATTAAATTTCCCTCAATAGGTGTAACACAGTCAATTTCTCTTCCCACGCTGTAATCTTCTTTCTTCTTGAACACTTTCCTTGTAGCATCGTCTTGCTGGAACTGGAACTGGTCATCTCAAAACAAAGTCCTTTTTTCTTTTTCAAGGACTGTTATCTGCTTGAATTCTTGCCTTCAATCTTAGAGATCATTCCATTTGTTGCTTTTGAAAGCCAAACTTACAAAGATTCTATCCACCCTTTTGCCCGTCAGACTTATTTTGGATATGTCCAGTGTTAACACAGTCCCTTGAAGCAGCCAATATATAGCACAGATCTTATGAAGTTTCTCATTTTTGCCATTAGGGGGCAAAAGCTTAGCATACAGCCTGAAAGAGTCTATAGTTACTTCTGGTCACATGGGCCAGTTGCTCTTCCACTTCCTGAAGAAAGCTTGGATCTTGCTGCTTCTACTGCATCACATTGCCATTTTTAAACATGTTTACTTTTTACAGAATTTGCCAAAGTTCCGAAAATTTGCCCAAATGCTTATTTGGCTCCTGGGGTCTCTCTAATACAGTCTATTGCCGCTTAAAACTCCGTCCCCACTACAAAGGCTTTTCTTTAATCGCTTATTTGTTCTTTCCGGGGGGGAGTCCCCTCCCCCCCTCGCTTTTGGTAAAAGGGGACTCGCTCATTCTCTGATGTTCTCGCTTTAACGGACTCACTCTTCAACGTCTGATCCCTCTGATCTTGCCAGGTAATGATTTAAATGCTGTACCTCCAGGCGCTTGTCCTGGTGTGCGTAGCTTAGTCCCATTCGGGAACACTGCACAGAGACCTTCGGGGGAAAGGGAAGCTTCGATCTGCTGGTAGCGTGCCAGCAGAGAGGCGACCCTCAGGGCCCCATGGCAAGGGACCCATGGAAAGGGTCCCAGGGGAGTGCGGACTTTCGCACCCCCTCTCATTGCGCTGGTCCACGGATCGCCCCCCAGGAGCTCCCTGGGGACGCGGCCGCCATCAGCCCGCCAAAAACCAGAAGTTGCTTGCTCACAACTTTAATGCCAGCAGCTCACCAAGTAGAATTTTTGCTCACAAGACTCCACAGCTTAGAGGGAGCATTGGATCCAGCCCATTGTATTTTACTACATACTTGACTATAGGTTCGCTACAGAACTTTTTGGAATACATTGTAACAGGGCAAGCTTTGGATGCATTTTATTTGTCAAGTTTAGAAGTATGAAACGAGAACTTCATAATTGTGATCTGATGTGCAAATGTTTTGCGCCCTTTATTTGGTCAGAAGAAGTAAGGTAAAGTGGACACAGTGCCGAGTCTGGATGCAGTGGAGTCGAGGCTCTGTTCTTTTTGGTTGTCCTTGGATAAGTCTTGCTCTCTCAGCCTAATCCGCCTCACAAAAATGTTGTAGGTAAAAAAAAGAGAGAGATGAATTCACATTTTCCTTTTTTTAAAAAACAGGCACGTTCACTTTAAATACTGCCCGAGCGTTTCCTGTGTTTCCTTTTCCTCTGCAAAAGATGGTTACAATTGTCGGACTGAACAAAGGCCATTCGTAGCACCGAGATCGTCTTGCTTATGGTCCCTTCCTGCGAGTCGGAGTGTTCAGGTGCCACATTATCTTCTGGTGCGACAGTGGCATTCTTCGCAAGGTAGATACGACGACTCGGTGGTAGAAAAGTCGCTGAAGTCTCTCAAGGACAAAAATAAGAAGCTGGAAGAAGGAGGCCCTGTATATAGTCCAACGGTAGAAGACCACATCGTTAAAAAGTCTCTCGGGCAGAAGATCGTTGACGAACTGAAGCACTATTACCATGGCTTTCGATTGCTGTGGATTGACACGAAAATCGCTGCGCGCATGCTCTGGCAGATTCTCCATGGCAACACTTTATCCCGTCGAGAACGGAGACAGGTATTGAATCTATGGAATTATTATTACTGCTGCTGCCGCTGCTGCTGCTATTACTCCACCTTCCTCACTGGGAGTCAAGGAGGGTTACACGTATGATAAAACACTTTTCAATCAATCAGTAAGGAGGTTATAAGATGGGGTAATGTCTGAAAATAACATCTAAGATTCATAGTAAGACAAAATAACATGGTTGGGTGGGATTGTAGAACGGGAAGAACAAGAATAACGCAAGAGGGGTCACAGGTATCCAATAGGAAAAACACACAAGCAATCCTGTGATATAAACATTATCAGAAGATTTATATTACTTTCAAGACTTATAAAATTACAAAAAGTTTTATCAATTGCACAATATTGTGAACAACAGATCCAATATAGTTCAACATAATGAGTAATTATTATAGTATTATGGTTTGAAATAATTAATTTCCATGCAGCTACATATGAATTTTCTTTTACCTTGGTTTCTCCAGGATACTATGAAGGAAATTACAATATTAAACGGGATTAAAATGCTGACCTCGCCTTTCAATATAGAATTACATCTGAGGAAGACTGTAAAGTTGAAATGAGTTCATATTGGGTACTCATTATGTTGAACTATATTGGATCTGTTGTTCACAATATTGTGCAATTGATAAAACTTTTTGTAATTTTATAAGTCTTGAAAGTAATATAAATCTTCTGATAATGTTTATATCACAGGATTGCTAATATATCCGATTAAGGCAATGAGGCATTCAGTCTAGGAAGAACTTTATCCCTAATAAGAGTCACATCCTGAGCAGCATTCCCTGTAAGCTGAGTTAGTGTGAGCCAGCTCACAGTCTTTTAGCCTCCGGCTCACACATTTTTGTCTTAGCTCAGGAAGGGTGGCTCCAGAGCAAACTAATTTATGCAGTAGCCAAATCGATCGCTCACAACTTTAATGCCAGTAGCTCACCAAGTAGAATTTTTGCTCACAGGACTCCACAGCTTAGAGGGAACATTGGTGGTGGTAGAAAGTGCCATCTATTTGCCGTGACCCTGAAGGGTTTCCAAGGCAAGACCTATTCAGAGGTGGTTTGCCGTCGCCTGCCTCCACGTGGCAACCCTGGACTTCCTTGGCAGTCTCCCATCCAAATACTGACCTGGGTTGCCCCTGCTCAGCTCCCGAGATCGGAGGAGATCGGGCCAACCAGGTCAGCGCATTAGAGAAGGGAAGCCGTAACTTAATCATTTGAATCACAGCCACTGATGGAAGTTTCCTCTTCTCGGGCATTAAGTAGGAGGAAGTGTGGGATGAAAACGTACCAGATGGATTTAGAAATACTGACCTTTTGATTCCTGTGCAGTCGTTGCGTTAAGGAGCAGGTGTCCCCGCAAGCCTGATCCTTGGAACATTAAGGGGGCCGGGGCGGGGCACCTCCCTGCTAGGAAAATGAGGGGTGATCAGGGCAGACGCTTCCAAGCAGCAAGCTGACATATCTGCCTGGGAAGGCATGGCTTTGTATGACCCTTTGTTGCTCTTTCTACACATATCCTGCGGGAGGGAGAGCCTCTCTATCCAGCATACTATACTGGTTCTGAAGTCCTGCAGTTCAGGGGAGGAAATGTATCTTCGATACAGTGCCTACCAACGTTCCCTCTAAACTGTGGAGTCTTGTGAGCAAAAATTCTGCTTTGTGAGCTACTGGCATTAAAGTTGTGAGCGAGTGATTTGGCTACTGCAACAATTAGTTTGCTCCGGAGCCACCCTTCCTGTGCTAAGACAAAAATGTGTGAGCCGGAGGCTAAAAAACTGTGAGCTAGCTCACACTAACTCAGCTTAGAGGGAACACTGGTTCCTACCTCCTATTGGTACATCGACTCTTGGAGTGTGATAACATAGAGCGTGTTAAGAACTGGCTGTTGTGTTAATAAATGGTACCCTTCTTATGCGTTACGTTCACTCCATTTTTGTTTGCAGTTCCTTCGGATATGCGCTGACCTCTTTCGACTGGTCCCTTTCCTAGTCTTTGTCGTCGTTCCATTCATGGAGTTCCTGCTTCCAGTAGCCGTAAAGCTGTTCCCTAATATGCTGCCTTCAACTTTTGAGACAAAGTCTAAGAAGGTAATTAAAATGTGGGTGAATGCTTTGTTAGTTTCCCATGCTGAAGTATTTTGAAAGAGTTTTTTCAGAAAAGTGAATTAGAAAACATTCTAATTAAAAACTAGAATTTACATTTCTTTGACTATGCCTCTTGAAGTACGAGTGAGTAACTGAAGTTATGATTTATTTGCTAGATATAATTTTAAGAACTCTCTGTGTTAAAAATGAATGCCAGAGCATGGCAAAGTCTGTGATATAATATTGATATTGACAGATTATATACACATGTTTTTATGTTGAGGATTTTTATTTTTAAAAAATACTTACAATATTTTTAACAATTGTTTGAAATGTAAACTGAACTTCTTAAGATGAATACACTAAAGCCAAGTGTACTTAATGATCTGATCCTGGGGAAATGGACTTGGAAGTCATCTCATCATCTCTGAGGCCACTTTGGCACATTATGTGAACTAATGGTAAGGGATCTGTTACCTTTAATGGCATAACAGTAAGATACATAGATGTACAATAACACGGTATGGATATATAAAACATAATAAACAATATAAGTCAGTCCTTGACTAGAGTAGATCTAACTTTGACTACTTTGGCAAGAAACTTGGCCACTATAGCTGTAATATTAGGATTAAAAAGGTAAAGGTAAAGGTTCCCTTGCTCGAAAGCCAGTCGAGTCCGACTCTAGGGTTGTGGTGCTCATCTCTGTTTCAAAGCCGAAGTGCCAGCGCTGTCCAAAGACATTTCTGTGGTCATGTGGCCGGCATGACTAAACAGCAAGGCGCACAGAATGCTGTTACCTTCCCACCGAAGTGGTACCTATTTATCTACTTGCAATTTCTTGCTTTCGAACTGCTAGGTTGGCAGGAGCTGGAACTAGAGACGGGAGCTCACTCCGTCATGCGGCACACTCGGTCTCGAACTGCTGAACTACTGACCTTCCACAGCCTGCAGTTCAGCATCTTAACCACTTGAGCCACCGCAGTTCCTAATATTAGGATTAGCATCATATATACATATATATATATATGTATTTGGTATTATAGACATCAAATATGGTGATTTCCCCCCCATATTTTCCCCATATATTTCCCCCATATATGTATATGCATGCTCACTAGAAATATATAACTGTGTTTAGTTGGGGGAAAAAATCACCATATTTGATGTCTATAATACCAAAAATTCAGGGGAACCTGAAACATAGAACATGTGATTCAAAATTGGTGTGACTTAAATTATTCTTTTAAAAGCTGGATTAAACATGTATGGAAGAGATGATACAGTGTGCAACATGGGCCTGAAAATTATTTCATTCACTGGTTAGAAATGTAGTGTCTTCCCCGTAGAGCCAAGACATCTTACAGATACAGATAGAGTGCTCCGAAATAAAAAAATAAACATATAAATGTTGTTCACAATGGATCCATAACACATAAAACGCCCCCGACCTTTTTCTTTGGAGCATTCCATCGTTTCCTTTGCTGTGGTTGGTGTACTGAGGCAGTTAATGACGGAAACATGCTATTAATAAGCTTTTCCAAATCGTATCTGTACTTTGTTCTATAATTACTGTCATTGGTGCCCTACACAGACATTTGAAAGGGAAAATAGCTTGTGCGCATGCACAGATTACAATTACTGTTTATTTATCTGTTGCGTATCACAAGTATTGGATAGTAGGGAAAAAAATGTTGTCTGTGCGATAGAATCCTGAGCAGTGTTCTCTAAGCTGAGTTAGTGTGAGCTAGTTCACAGATTTTTAGCCTCCGGCTCATGCATTTTTATCTTAGCTCAGAAAGGATGGCTCCAGAGCAAACTAATTTATGCAGTAGCCAAATCGCATGCTCACAGCTTTCATGCCAGTAGCTCACAAAGTAGAACTTTTGCTCACAGGACTCCACAGCTTACTGGGAGCATTGGTCCTGAGATGACGGGATAGGGCCGTGTGGAGGAATGCATGGTGTTAACACTCATTTCTTTGTGTCGGGCATCCTGAAGTTAGAGGAGAGAACTTCCTAAGGACAACTTAATAGTCCCATATTTTTTCCTTACTGTCTGGTGTATTTAATTGCAAGCTTTCAAAGCTTAAGATCATATAACAAGCAGCTGTGCTAGATCAATCTAGTCCAGCGTCCTGCTTCACAAATGTGCCAGCCACAGGACCCCAGAAGATGCCCACAAGCGTGTCACGGAGGCCAAAGCCTCACATTGGCGTTGCTCCCCGGCACGGGTAGTTGGAGACCTTTGAATATGGAGGTTCTATTTAGCCACGGTGGCAAATAGCCATCAATCCATGAATGTTCACATTTCTAGGCCGCCTCAACCCCCTTCAAGTCTGCCTCGCAGCCCTTTCTTCCCATTAAACTACTTGCTGGACCTGGGGCAGTCCGTGCAATGCTGTCTGCTTTCTTGAGTGCTGCAGTGTTGCTATTCCTGCAACAGTGATGCCCTCCTGTACTAGCTTTCATAAGAACATAAGAGAAGCCAATGTTGAATCAGGCCGATGACCCATCCAGTCCAACACTCTGTCACACAGTGGCCAAAAGTACCAGGTGCCATCAGGAGGTCCAGCAGTGGGGCCGGGACACTAGAAGCCCTCCCACTGTTGACCCCCCCCCCCAAGCGCCAAGAACACAGAGCCTCCCTTGCCCCCCAGACCGAGAGTTCCTGTCTATACCTTGTGGCTAATAGCCACTGATGGACCTCTGCTCCATATGCTTATCTAATTCCCTCTTGACGCTGTCCATGCTTGTAGCCGCTGCCACCTCCTGTGGCAGTGAATTCCATGTGTTCATCACTCTTTGGGTGAAGAAGGGCTTCCATTGTCAGGAGGAAGCTTGAAATAGTTGTAGCAGTGCCCTGGTTTCTTATTTTTTAAAACGTATCCTTTTCCGTATTTAGGAAGAGAGACTGAAAAAGGAATTAAGAGTGAAGCTCGAAGTGGCTAAATTTCTTCAGGATACGATCGAAGAGATGGCTTTAAAAAATAAAGCCGCCAAAGGGAACGTTACTAAAGACTTTTCGACCTTCTTTCAAAAGGTAAAATCTTTTTTTCTTGTCTTATAAAGTACTGGGACTTGGGGTTCAGCAATGTCAGCAGTTCATTGTTTTTTTAACTTCCTGGGTGATTGCCCTTTCCCCAGCATAAAATACATGCAGATCTTCTTGTAACTCTGTAGTGTTCCCCGATGCCAAATCATTGAAATCAGAACTGTGGTTTGCCCTAGATATTAGTGAAGGATCGCACACTATTTCTTACTATATTTAAGTAAATAGCCGTGGAAACAAAGTCTTAACTGCACTCCTTTTCTACTCGCAGATCAGAGAGACTGGTGAAAGACCGAGCAACGAAGAAATTTTACGGTTCTCTAAACTATTTGAAGATGAGCTAACTCTTGACAATCTCACAAGACCCCAGCTGGTGGCACTCTGTAAACTGCTAGAACTTCAGTCAATGGGGACAAACAACTTTCTGCGCTTCCAGCTGACAATGAAATTGAGATCCATAAAAGCAGATGATAAAGTAAGGTGTTTTTTTTTTGTAACAAGTGTGTTTATTGCATGGCTACTCTAACAGCTGTTTTGGAGCAGGGAGTTTCATTAACCCGGGACTCTTGTGTTTCACTGTTGAAATGTTTCTGTCTGCCAAGGAGAGGAATAATGCAATCATGAAAATAACCACAGCAGTGAGATTTATTTGGCTGTCCCTGCTTGGTGTTCTTTTTGCTGGTCAGTTTGGTGAGGTGGTTAAGAACCGGGTTTGATTCCCCACTCCTCCACTTGCACCTGGCTGGATGACCTTGGGCAAGCCGTAGTTCTGATAAGAGCTGTTCTTGGAAAAAGAGCAGTTTCTGTCAGAGCTCTCTCAGCCCCACCTACCTCACAGGGTGTCTGTTGTGGGGAAGGGAAGGGAAAGGAGTTTGTAAGCCGCTTTGAGACACCTTTGGGTAGTGAAGGGCGGGGTATAAATCCAATCTCTTCTTCTTCTTTCAAGGGCAGTTCTCGAGAGAGCTCTCTCAGCCCCACCTACCTCACAGGGTTCCTGTTGTGGGGAAGGGAAAGGGATTTTAAGTTGCTCTGAGACTCCTTTGGGCAGTGAAGGGCGGGGTATAAAGCCAATCTCTTCTTCTTCTCTCTTCGTCTTCTGGGGAGAGAGAGAGAAGGGGAGAGAGAGAGAAGGTAAGGAAAGATTTAAGAAGGAAAGGAAAAGTAGGGAATTGTGGCCGGGCATGATGACATGTTGTGGGCTGCACGTGGTTCTTTGTGTTCTGTGTCCACATGTGCATGCATCCTCTGTTCTTGCTCTTTTGGTATATAACCGGTTATTTACACAACTGAAATGTATTTAATGAATCATATTGAATAGTCAGGCTTTTCTCCCCACATCCTTTGGTCACCAAACGGAAACCTGTGCCAGGGTTTACACATGCAAGCGTCCCTCTGTAAGTCCCAGATGGTGGTTCCTGGAGGATCTTGCATATAACAGATGTAGGACTTAATATACCTCCAGGCTGGAAAATGGGAGGGAAGCAGGTGCTTAACCTGACAAAATAACTACGGTGTCCTAAGCACGAGCAAAGATTAAAGTAGCTTTCAAGCGAAGATCCGTTCTGAGCAGTATGGCTGTAAAAACACAAGGAGCAGTTCAGTGATTAAAACAGAGTAGGAATTTTCTTGTGGCCGACAAAAACATCCAGTAATAACTCTTCTCTCCCCACCAGTCAATGCCTCCTGGCATGCAGTGATTACATTGATTTTTGAGAAGTAATTTAAAGCAAAGTGCCCGTTCCCGGGGAGCTTCCGAGTACACAGAAACCACAACCTGGACTGGCCCTGCTAAGAAGCGGAGGACCCCCAAGCTGACTGTTTGGAGTGTTTCTTAGTTAAGGGAAGATGACATTTCTTCATACCGCCTAGTACAAGTGTTGACCTTGTGTCCCGTGTAGCTGATTGCTGAGGAGGGAGTGGATACCCTGACGGTTAAAGAGCTCCAATCCGCATGCCGAGCCAGAGGGATGAGAGCACTTGGCGTGACAGAAGAACGTTTGAAGGAGCAGCTGAAGCAGGTAACGATCAGCTAATGGACGATGCTCATTTTTTGGTTTCACGATGCAATTGATCCTGTGCATTTCAGGACATTTCATTCTAAAGAACTAATCAGAGATTAGCAGGAACAGCCGTGGAGAGATCATTTAGTTTCATTCGCTTATTGTTTTCAGAAATGAACACGAATAATAATTATAATTATCGTATGGCATTGTGTGTGGTATAGCCAGGAGATCCTAAGATTGTCTGGCAACCAGAGGTTCTAGCTCATTTAGTGTTGTGCACTGCTTGGTGATGAGCTAGAATTGTTTATACGGCAAGAGACGTTTCAGGGGTGGTTTGCTGTTGCCTGCCTCTGCGTCGCAGCCCTGGTATTCCTTGGAGGTCGCCCTTCAGAATACTAGACAAGGCTGACCCTGCTTAGCTTCCAAGATCTGATGAGATCAGGCTAGCCTGGGCTATCCAGGTCAGGGACAGAAACGAACACTATTAATCAGTGATCGGAGATTTGCAGAAAAATATGGATCAGAAAAACTTCCATAGCCCATGTTAATTATATGTCGCAATATCAATAATTTCTTGAACTGGTATGTTTGATGGGGGGGGGAGGAATCAAATGTTGTCTCGGCATGCTATTTTAATAAATTCAAATTTTTATGTGGCAATTATTTTTTATTGGAATAACATTTCTGAAAATTATGGTTTTGGTTTTGGTTTAAGGAAAAGAACTGACGTCTGATACACTAATGGGAAGATAGGTGTAAAATTAATTTCTTGTGGGCTGGATCTCTCATTGCTTACTCCTAGTGGTCCTCCTGCCTTCCAGAGGGAAGTTGTGTTTTGTAGAGCTGTTGAGCTTTGAAGCAAGGGGGGAAAAAAGAGAGAGAAGAGCCTGTGATATTTTTGCAACAGCACAGTTTTAGAATAATCTGTATCCAGGAGTCATTTTGTAGAAAAAGAGGTGCAGGAGCTCATTACCATAACTCATTAGCATAACTTATTTGCATATGCCACACCCCCTGACATCACCAGAAGTGTGTCAGAAGGCAACACCCACCATTCAGACTCCACTGGACTGTTTTGTATTGCTAGCTGTTGGGGGGGGGGACGTGCAGATCTGCCCTCACAGAGGAGGGAGAGCTTGTACCTGAATAAAACTTGGTCTTAAAGGTGCCCCTCTCTGCAACTTACTTGGCTGCTTCTTGCTCCTTGTGGCCTGAGGGCTGCTGGGAGCAGGCTTGTTGCATGTGCCCGCCCCCTGGGCTACTTACTCCCGGAGCTCCGCTCCTGTGCGCTCCCGCAGGAAATGACCTCTGTATATTTTTGAAGATTGGGGAGGGGCTGTGGCTCAGAGGCAGAGCATCCGCTTGCCATGTAGAAGGTCCTCATCTCAATCCCCAGCATCTCCAGTTTAAGGGACCTGGTCGTAGATGTTATGAAAGACCGCTTCCCATGACCCTGGAATTCTGCTGTCAGTCAGAGTAGACAGTACTGACCTTGATGGAGGAAGGAACTGATCTAATGTAAGGCAGCTTCATGGAACTGCGTAGCCAAAGTTGAATCTTCCACTAAAAGGATTCCACTGACAGGCTCAAATGGTTTTGTTTGATCAAATGAGTCCTTCCTGTCCCAGTTCTGTAGTGGATCCTCCTGGCTGGAAGGTGACGTGTCTCAAGGATAGAAGTTGCCTACTAGTTGATAACGCCATTTAGGTCTCCATGCTGAGTCGACGGGAATAAAGTGTTGGGCGCACTGCTGTACCTGTGCTAACGTTCGTGTCTTAATTGCAGTGGCTGGACTTGCACCTGAACCAGGAAATCCCAACTTCGCTGCTTATTTTATCCAGAGCGATGTATCTTCCAGATACGCTTTCACCAGAAGACCAACTTAAAACAACTCTGCAAATACTGCCTGAAAGTATGGTATGTGTCTTGCTTGTATATAATCAGTACCAGACTCAGTAAAAAAATACATCTAAATGATATCGCCAAACTTAAAGAGTAGAAAAGAGCAAGAGTCCAGTAGCACCTTAAACACTAACAAAATTTGTGGCAGGGGATGAGCTTCCATACGAAAGCTTTCATACGAAAGCTCATACCCTGGCTCCAATTTTGTTAGTCGTTAAAGTGCTACTGGACGCTTGCTCTTTTCTACTGCTACAGACAGACTAACACGGCTACCCGTCTTGATCTATCATCAGTCTTTAAGGGTTTTGCCATGTAGAGCCGTTGCGTTAGCTTCACTGTGGTCTTAATGTTAAAAATGTTTCAGATTCTTGATATCTCTCGTATCTCCTGTCCAGTATCAGTTTGTATTGCAATAGGCTGACATCGACTGTTTACTTGTGAAAATAGTGTATCTTTTGATGGTCTACCCTTGCAGTTTATATTTTTGCATACTACATACACTTTGGGTCCCTATTGTTTGGCTAGGATTTGCATACAGCTTCTGCCAGTGCATTTCCATCATCTTTGACAGAACTGTTCCATGCAACACCATTCCTTTGATTCTTTTGAGTTTATCAACCGTATTTCCAGTTTTCCAGCTAACTCTCTTCTTTCATTACTTCTCATGGGAGCTCTGTCTGTCTTCCTACCTTGCCCTTGACTAGCCAAGTCCCCATTTCCAGGTAATGCTATGTCCTTGTTCCACGATATGCCCACAACTGTAGCTTCGGGACACTGATCCTTGCACTTGTGAAATGCTATTGCAATTCAGTACGTTGCATAGCTTGCAGCTGTTAGGTCTTGTGCCAGTTTCCATTTTCCCCTGCCTGCATTTCTCCCCTTTCCTTCCTTTCAGTTTAAGTAATGGTCACATTGCTTAAGGCTTGATCTAAGCGGCAGTAGGAGCCTTTATGGTGACTTTGTTCAGTTATCCAGTAATTTCCTTAAAGCTATCTGTGCAATGTCATCTTAGTCTCTTTTAAATTCCATTGTGCATTCCCGCTTATCTTGTTTCCCGCTGAGTATAGTCATCTGCCTTATTATCCATTTTATTCTGTTTCTTTTAGGGCGGGTAAAATTAATCAGAATTTTCTTACATCACAGAAGTGTCAAGAGTCTACAGCCCACAAAATTTTAAGTCACAATCCCTGGACACCGATTGGTTACAACCATCGTTAAGCATTGTGGGGATTGTAGGCTGTGTCTGCTCTCCACTGCCAGACAGGTCTCTCCTGGGCCTAGGCCTCACTAGGCCTTGTCGCCCAGTCCTACACAGATCATGACAAGGCCACTTCATAGTCTCTTGTTCAAATTTGAGACTTTAGTTCAGGCATGAGGCCTGCAGAGCATGGGAAATTCCTGCTCTCTTGAGCACCAAGGCCCAGCTGACAGTGACTCAGAGGGAGAGAGAAAGGAAGGATGGGAGGCAAACGCAGGTGCCGTGTGTCTCATCAGCCTTAACCATTTTGAGGCCGCCTTTAAGTGGGCCTACACATTTCATCTAGTTAGCACATGGATTTATGGGAACTTACTAATTGGATCTGATGGAACTGCAGAACACCAGGTACTAATTGGTAACCACACCTGATTGGCTACCTCACCTGGTCAGTAACACCAGTGGTCAGTTGGGTTACATCACTGGGCCTACAATTGATTGGCTCTGCTAAATCTTGCCAGTGCAGGCTGTGAGGCATAAAGCAAAGATCTTTCATTCTCGTTTTTGTGCTTAGCTGTACCTCGGAGCTCTTTGCCTTAGGCCTTGCCTTTGGACACTTTGACTAGGGTGGGCCAGGATTGCCAGAGACCTATTGATTTTGGACTTTGCCTCGTTGAGTACCCTCTGGATTAGAGAACCATTGTTTAGAAGTGTCTAGGCTTTTGTTATTTTATTCTCACTGTTCTTTGCTCTTTGTTGTATATTCCTGCACATCCTTTTTAATAAATCAATTATGTTTTGGCGTGTTCTCGCATTTGGGAGGCTTCACTCTGAATCCAGAACGTTGGCCCATGTTGGCTGCAGCTACTGAAGTAACTTGTTTGGGGACTTGCCTTGTGAGTGTGCAGCCAGAGGGTCGGTTTCTTGCTTAGACCTGGGTAAGGGTGGAGGTTTGGTCCATTGGTCTCTGGCTGTCTGGGTAGCCAAAGGGACTGGCGGGTTCCCACTTCATGAAAATACAAAATGAAGCCGTGGAATAGGATGCCAGTCAACAAATTAGTATGTAACACTTGCAGCAATTTCCTATTTATATCCGTTATCAAATAGTGTACAATAAGTACAAATGTGTTATACAATAACAAGTGAATATATGATGAAACAATGACTGAAGATTCCGGATAGAAGCGAGACCAGCGATACAAGGATACAGAATAGCGCTTCGCTAATTTATAACCGGTGCCCATTTAAGAGGATTATTGATATTCATATTAGCTTGAAAATTGTATTGAAATTAAACACTGTTGGTACACAACTGTCCAGGAGCTGCGGTGGCTCAAGTGGTTAAGACGCTGAACTGCAGGCTGTGGAAGGTCAGTAGTTCAGCAGTTCGAGACCCGAGTGTGCCGCAAGACGGAGTGAGCTCCCGTCTCTAGTTCCAGCTCCTGCCAACCTAGCAGTTCGAAAGCAAGAAATTGCAAGTAGATAAATAGGGACCACTTTGGTGGGAAGGTAACAGCGCTCTGTGCGCCTTGGTGTTTAGTCATGCCGGCCACATGACCACGGAAACGTCTTCGGACAGCGCTGGCTCTTCGGCTTTGAAACGGAGATGAGCACCGCAACCCTAGAGTCGGACTCGACTGGCTTTCGAGCAAGGGAACCTTTACCTTTACTTACACAACTGTGAATGAGACAAATGACTGAACACTACAGATGTAACTTGTATTCCTGAAGAAGTTGGACGAATCGAAGTGCATATCCGGAATCTGCGTTCGTTGTTTCATCATACATTCTCTTGTTATTGTACACGTTTGTACTTATTGTACATTATTTGATCACCGATATAAGTATAAAATTGCTACAAGTGTTCTATACTAATCTGTTGATTGGCGTCCTATTCCACAGCTTCATTTTGTATTTTCATGGAGTCCCACTTCAGCCTTTTGTTTTGTTTGCACCTTGCTCAGACTTCTACCCTTCTCCTGGAGCAAGCCCACCTGGCAACGCTGCGGAGGAGGGTGGGATTGTAACAAGAAGCACAGATTTTAAGTAACCAGCGTAAATGTTAATTGTTCTGCTCAGATTTCCTCTTAGCACCATGCAGAACTAAAAGCTGATTGGATTTTATTTTTCAGGCCAAAGAAGCTCAAGTGAAAGCCGCAGAAGTGGAAGGAGAAAAAGTTGACAATAAAACCAGACTGGAAGCGACCCTCCAGGAGGAAGAAGCTATTAGGAAAGAAAAGCAGGACAAAGAGTTGGAGAGGCTATCCGAAGCTGCCGAAAAGGCAAAAGAAATCCTTCAGGTTGCTGCCCAGGTAGGAACCTCCAAAGCATCAGTGTTTTTGAATGTTTTGCTCACTCTTTATTTGAAATGGGCTTTGCGGAGCTCACCTCAAGCTTTATGTATATGGTGTAATGTAAAAAAAAAGAATTGTCGGTTGGGTGTATTAGAGCCAGTTTGGTGTAGTGGTTAAGTGTGCAGACTCTTATCTGGGAAAACCGGGTTTGATTCCCCACGCCTCCACTTGCACCTGGCTGGATGACCTTGGGCAAGCCATAGTTCTGATAAGAACTGTTCTTGAAAAAGAGCAGTTTCTGTCAGAGCTCTCTCAGCCCCACCTTCCTCACAGGGTGTCTGTTGTGGGGAGGGGAAGGGAAAGGCCGCTCTGAGACTCCCTTGGGTAGTGAAGGGCGGGGTATAAATCCAATCTCTTCTTCTTCTGCTGCTGCTGCTTAATGGCCTCTATTCTGTCTGTCTTCCTGTGAATTGCGGGGTTCTCCAGACCGGGCAAGTTCTGGGTAAGAGATTCTTATGATAAATACAGGACGGGCATGATCCATAATTCTGTAGCTATTCTTTTTGCTTCTAGGTTATTAAAACTGTAAGCAGGTTCCTGGGAAGTGTAAGAAGAGCATGCCACTAGTGCCAGCCAGATTTCCAAACTACTTTTAAGACTGCAAGGGATGACTTATTGGAGATTGGAAGATCTGCTACTGGTCTTGCCTTTCTCATTGACACCTTTCAATCTGCGGGGAAGGACAGCCCACCCCCAGTTCCCAGATGAAAGTTGGGAGAATGTCCCCTTCTCTTTTCCTACTGCTAGTTCAAGATGCTTTGCCACTCCAAGCGAGCGCACTGCCCATCTTTGCCTCCTGTGGGAGCAAGCTGAGCCACAGTTGCACTGGCAGAGGGTAAGGATGGGCACAGGCTAAGCCTTGTGGGTGCCTCCTGTGCTGCCACCAGCTGGGAGTAAATAAGGTGCACTAGTCTGATGGCACCCTCTCAGTGTCCTGAGTAGGGCATGCCTTTCCGCCATGTGTTTTCGAAGCAGTGAGGGTGAGCTCACTGCTTTGGACTTGTGCATGGCTTGGAGAAGCATTTAAAGGGGCAGCTTCCCTTTACATGCTTTTTTTCTCCATTGGAAACAACGGAGGATGGGGGCACCTCCTTCTGGGGCCCATAGAATTGGACCCCCTGGTCCAATCTTTTTGAAACTGGGAGGGGGGTGTTTGAGGAGAGGCACCAGCAGCTATGCTGCAAATTTGGTGCCTCTACCTCAAAAAACAGCCCCTCCCCTGAGCCCCAGGTACCCCCGGATTAATTCTCCATTATAGTCTATGGTGAATGGTCCCCATAAGGTATAATGGAGAGAGAAAAATAATCGGCAACCCCGATTATTTCCCAATTCCCGATATTCGGGAATATTGGGAAATACCGATATTTTCCAGTTTCAGTATACCTAAACCCAAAAAATACTGATTTTTTTTCCTTGCACACACCTAGTCCTGAGTGAAGAAGAAGAAGAGATTGGGTTTATACCCTGCACTTCATTACCTGAAGGAGTAACCGAGTGGCTTACAATCCCTTTCCCTTCTCCTCCCCACAACAAACACCCTGTGAGGTAGGCTGAGAGAGCTCTCTCGAGAACTGCCCTTGAGAGAACAGCTCCGAGAGAACTTGTGACTGATCCAAGGTCACAGCAGCAGCTGCATGTGGAGGAGTGGGGAATCAAACCCGGTTCTCCCAGATTAGAGTCCACGCTCCTAACCACTACACCATTCTCGGCGCCTTAGGTGGGGAGCCAGCCCTGCCGTCTCAGCAGAACTTCATACATACCCCTTCGGTCTCGGGGGACTGAGCCCAGCTGCAGCCATGGACACTGAAAGCGACAGGCGCTTCATCATTTCCCATGGCTCAGTGGCAGAGCATCTGCATGGCATGCAGAAGGTCCCAGGTTCAATCCTTGGTATCTCCAGTTGAAAGGACCAGGCAGTAGGGGATGTGAAAGACCTCCGCCCGAGACCCTGGAGAACTGCTGCCAGTCTGAGTAGGTAGTGCTGACTCTGATGGACTGAGGGTCTGATTCAGTACAAGGCAGCTGCACGTGTTCACGTGTGTGTGGAAGGAAGGGGAAAGGACAGTCTGGCCTCAGTCACCAGCCAAGAGGTCCTGGGAGGGTGAACTCCCGCCTGCTCACCAAGAAATGCAGCAAAACCGCCACAGGCTTTTTTGGATGGGGGAACGAGGAGATGCTTCATCCTGCTCCCATATTTGAAACGGAACTTTAGAAATCAAATCTCAACGCTGTAAAAAAAACAACACCCCAAGAACGTGCTTGGACTTGCAAAGATGCATCTTGGGATCCGTATGTATTAAACGCTGTTCTCCTGTGTGTGATAACTTTGCATTTCAGAAAGAGGTGGAGTCTGCAATCGACCTTAATTCTGCAGCTGTGCATACAAAGAAAAGCCAGATAGCTATGGATGCTGAAGAAGAACTGGCAAAGGCGGATTTAACCCTCCATTCAGAGACATTAAAAGACACAGCACCAGTGCTGGAAGGCATTAAGGTAAATTTGGGAGGAGCGAGGGGCAAAAAGCACGTGTATCAACCAGCCAGTGAGTCCTGGTGTTAAATATGCAGAGCGTTCCTTCAAGTACTGACCTGTATCACGTTATTTTTGTTTTTGTATTGACCACTTGCATCCTTTCCTTTCCTTTTGTACCCTTAGAAGCTCATTGATTCAGAAATCTTGAGCAGCATAAAACACTTATTTCTTATTTTTTAGATGCAAGGGCTAAAAGGACTGAGGCCAATTTTGCAATTGCTTAAAGTGATCTTGGAATCCTTAGACCACTTGCATCAGTTCATGGAAAGTGTTGATCTGGGCACAGATGTTACAGACTTTGGTAACATCTGGATTGTATCGCCTTTTTATGGTCTTTTTCTAGTTTATTATTGTGGATTTTCTGACTAGTCATAATGACCCTGGTCCTGAATCCTATTTTTATTAAAAAGGTGGGGTAAAGGTAAAGGTTCCCTTGCTCGAAAGCCAGTCGAGTCCGATTCTAGGGTTGCGGTGCTCATCTCCGTTTCAAAGCCAAAGAGCCAGCACTGTCCAAAGACGTTTCCGTGGTCATGTGGCCGGCATGACTAAACACCAAGGCGCACGGAACGCTGTTACCTTCCTACCGAAATGGTACCTATTTATCTACTTGCAATTTCTTGCTTTCGAACTGCTAGGTTGGCAGGAGCTGGAACTAGAGACGGGAGCTCACTCCGTCATGCGGCACTCAGGTCTCGAACTGCTGAACTACCGACCTTCCACAGCCTGCAGTTCAGCGTCTTAACCACTTGAGCCACCGCAGCTCCTAAAAGGTGGGGTAGAAAGTACTTAAATAAGTACCCAAACACACACACACGAAAAGCTGAACTACTACAAATTTGGTATGCACACTATGCAGCAGCAAACTGGTGTTTGTCAAGCTAGACAAAACACAGGCGATGCATCATCACATCTGCCAGTGTTTCTGTTTTTTCTTGTTGGGTGGGAAAACTGGATATGACCCCTAAGATCTGTCAGTTGCCTCCGGGCTGATCAGCCTGATCCATAATAGCGTGCTAGATGTCTGTATGGAATATGGAGATGATGTCATATCAGCCCAGATTAATCAAGTGGTAGCCCCAGAAGTCCCTGGGCATGTTGGACTGCACCTATACTGGTCACAGAGCCGGGATTGGCTATGGTTCCCTGTTGACAGAGGACGTTGAGGGTCAATGGAGAGGAGACACAGAGGTCCAGAATTTGTGCTCCTGATATTTCTAGTTCGTCACGTATGCAGCTGTGGGGGGGGGGGGCGTTGTAGAGGAATGTATTAGATCACGGCTGTAGTGCTGAGGTAAAGGTTCCCTTGCTTGAAAGGCAGTCGAGTCCGACTCTAGGGTTGCGGTGCTCATCTCCGTTTCAAAGCCAAAGAGCCAGCACTGTCTGAAGACGTTTTCATGGTCATGTGGCCAGCATGACTAAACACCAAGGCGCATGGAACACTGTTACCTTCCCACTGAAGTGGTACCTATTTATCTACTTGCAATTTCTTGCTTTCGAACTGCTAGGTTGGCAGGAGCTGGAACTAGAGACGGGCGCTCACTCCATCATGCGGCAACTCGGGTCTCGAACTGCTGAACTACTGACCTTCCACAGCCTGCAGTTCAGCGTCTTAACCACTTGAGCCACCGCAGCTCCGTAGTGCTGAGAGGAGGTGCCTAACCCTTGCCTCTTTGCCCAAAATTCTTCTCCTGTCACAGGGTTCCCCATAAACAGGTGAGGAACAGGAACAGATCATTGGCTGATCTTTCTTTTCCCCCCAACAGAGAGGTCAGATTTCATAGGGGGGGAATGTAGGCTGGCCAGCTTATTTATTTAAAACATTTACTAACTGCCTTCTTCCCCTGCAGAACTCCAGGTGGCTTAGAACATAAAAAAAAATCAAAAGCTTCTATAGGAAGTTTTGGTATTTGGAAAAGCCTCATCATCTGGCACCGGCTGCAGTCCTAAGTGTGCTTTGCTGGCAGTAAGCCCCATTGAATAAAGCTGGACTTTCTTCTGAGTAGATCTGCTGAGGTTTGCTCCTTCACTAAAGCAAATGTAAAGAAAACCGTCATGAGAGTCTGGCCCACAAATCAGGCAGTCAACCAGACTTGCAAAGAGAATGCTTTCTGTATATTATTGTCAACAAGCACTACAACACAATGAACACATTCCTTCAAATCATAAGAAAATCCTTGCGTAAAAATACATCAACGTCGTCTCCAGATTATATAACGTTTCATAATCGGATCTTCCTCAGGAGATATTAGAGTAGTACAAAAGCTCTCATGCTCATAGGTAAAGGTTCCCTTGCTCGAAAGCCAGTCGAGTCCGACTCTAGGGTTGTGGTGCTCATCTCTGTTTCAAAGCCGAAGAGCCAGCGCTGTCCGAAGACGTTTCCATGGTCATGTGGCCGGCATGACTAAACACCAAGGCGCACGGAACAAAAAATGAGGCATCTGGGATCCATCAGAAGCTTAGCAGCATATTTGAGCCTGAATACTTATTGAGATCAGCGTCCTGTCCGAATGTTTTATCTTTCCTGATTTTTTGTAAAGCACTTTAGGAGCATGAGAGCTTTTGTATACTATCTCCTGAGGAAGGTCCAATTTTGAAACGTTGTTAGATAATCCGGAGACGATGTTGATGTATTTCTACACTAGGATTTTCTTATGTTTTGAAGGAATGTGTTCATTGTGTTGTAGTGCTTGTTGACAATAATATACAGAAAGCATTCTCTTTGCAAGTCTGGTTGACTGCCTGATTTGTGGGTCAGACCCTCAGGACTGTTTTCTTTACATTTGTCCTTTGATCAGGTCGTGATTGTCCACATTTGTCTTCCTTCACTAAAGCCCCAGTAAAGTCAGTGAAGCCAAATTGCTATATTTTTGTAAATCCACACAGATCCATTTTATCGCCGCTAAGAGGAGTTCTGCTTATCTCCAAGAGTGTTGTGGGGACACAGAAATGGTGCTGTGTAAGCTGAGAGATATTAAAGTCTTAGAGCGGAGTTGGGGGACAAATGTCAGCACTGCATAAGAAGCTGAAGTAAAAAAAAATCTGAATTTCTGAATGTTTATTTATTTATTAAATTTCTACCCCGCCCTCCCACCGAGGCGGCTCAGGGCGGTTTACAAACAGTTTAAAACAACATACAATTTAAAACCAGCAAATACAAGATATAAAATACAATAAACACAATGAAACTAAATAAATATGGCGGCATCCTATGATAAAGCACTAGTGCGACCCAACCTGTGAAGTCAGTTCTTATTTGAACGCTTGGTGAAACAGCACAGTTTTCACGGCTCTGCGGAATCGCTGGAGGTCCCGTAGAGCTCTAATCTCATTAGGGAGCTCGTTCCGCAGGGTTGGCGCCACCAGGGAGAACGCCCTGGTCCTGGTCACTGCCAACCTGGCATCCCTGGGTTGACCTTGAAGTGCAGTGTCGCTTTGGTGCAAACGCAAGACAGCCCTTTGGGCTGGGGGGAACACGAGGGTGTGTCCAAGCTCTCGTGCCCGATAAGAAACTGTGGGGGTTAGAGAAAACGGCTAATCAAACATTTGAGGCAGTCAAGCTGCACGATGGCATTTCCTGTTGAATATGTTTAAGATTAGAATTTCTTGTATATAAAGCTCCTTTAAATGAATACATCTGATGTCTATAAATGAATGTAACATTTTGACAGTCAGAGGTGTGCAGCAGTGGAATTGGCTGCCTGGGGAGGTGGTGAGCTCCCCCTCCCTGGCAGTCTTTAAGCAGCGGCTGGACAGACCCTGGTCAGGGAGGCTCTCGGCTGATCCTGCATTGAGCCAGGGGGTTGGACCAGCTGTGGAGTCTTGTGAGCAAAACTTCTACTTGGTGAGCTACTGGCATGAAAGTTGTGAGCGAGCGATTTGGCTGCTGCATAAATTAGTTTGCTCTGGAGCCATCCTTCCCGAGCTAAGACAAAAATGTGTGAGCCGGAGGCTAAAAAACTCTGAGCTAGCCCACAGTAACTCAGCTTAGAGGGAACACTGATCTGGAAGCGACTTAACACGCACACACCCCTCTTAATTACGAGTGTCACAGTTTCAGAGTGCCGGTTTCATCAGTAGCCAGCAGCCATGCTGCTTTTGAATGCAATATGTACACCCCCATGAGTCCTCGGAGGGCCCGTGGGAATGTCTCTGAATCCTGCTCTGATCCATACCGACTACATTTGAGAATTTTTGTTAGCAAAACCGTAGTTTGGTGTCCCTTTTTATAGTATAGTTTAGTCGCGTGAGGTACTTCTTGGGTGGCCAACCTGTGGTACACAAAGGCTGCGAGAGGCTGCAGAAGGCGGTAGGGTGGTGCATGCACCGGGGCCGCTCACCCACGCAGCACTGAGTGGCACCTGGTACTTGGCTCACCGGGCTAAATTTATTCATTTACGCCATTTATACCCTCCTTGCTTCCCACTGGGGACCAAAGCAGATTGCATTGTCGTTCTATGCTCCGTTTTATCCTCACAACAGCCCTGTGAGGTAGGTCAGGTGGGGAGGGTGTGGCTGGCCCAAGGTCACCCAGCAAGCTTCTAAGAACATAAGAGAAGCCAATGTTGGATCAGGCCAATGGCCCATCCAGTCCACCACTCTGTCACACAGTGGCCAAAAATACCAGGGGCCATCTGGAGGTCCACCAGTGGGGCCAAGAAGACACTAGAAGCCCTCCCGCTGTTGCCCCCCCCCCAAGCACCAAGAAGACAGAGCATCACTGGCCCCAGACTGAGAGTCCCTATCTATACCTTGTGGCTAATAGCCACTGGTGGACCTCTGCTCCGTCTGTTTATCTAATTCCCTCTTGAAGCCGTCCATGCTTGTAGCTGCCACCAGCGTGGGGATTTCAGCCTGGGTCCCCCCCTGGATCCTAGGCCACTGCTCCAACCACAACACCAAACTGGAAGTTACTAAGCCACAGGCAGCCTGTTGCATGACTTTGCACCTGGCTTGTTCCAAAA